TCCAATTTTCCTGTAATCAATATTATTAACTTTTTTAACATTTTGAATTCTTCTTCAGTAATGAAACACTAAGAATGTGAAGATTTGCAGGAATCACATGAATGAAGGAAAAAGTAGAGTTATATATTAATGTTAATATACCTACCTGAGTTTAACAATTCTGGTAAAAAAGGGAAGGAGCACTCCCCCATTTCATTGATTGTTCAACATTAGTTTCCGAGAGATAAGTTTGATTTATTTCTAAAACTGCCTTTCTCGCTGAAGCTACAGCCAAAATTGCTGAGTATGTCAATAAGAGTCCATAACACTAAAATACTTGGTTGCTAGGGACACTCGAATTTTCATTCGATTTGATTCAAAATTAGGCATGGCTTCGGGGGCATGAAGGGATAACCATTTAACCTAAAATGAGGTTGCAGAGAGATTTTCCTTCATTTGACAAGGTAGGCAAAGCCACAAATGCGGTTTCAAGGCCGAAACGCATCGAATAATACAACTCCCGGAACGTTTTTGAACATACGGACTCAGGAACATTCGCGTGTTATTCGTTCCAATGCCCGTAATATTAATGGTTACATTTTATCAAAACCTTAATTAAGTTGTCTCTGAATTGCCATCATCCGAAGCCAGTCCCAGAAATTGTGAATCAAAAGGCTCTGAATGAATGTGCTCGCCCCAATAGACGCTACCAGTGTGGCGTCACAGGAAGGCGATACGGCAATTGGACCGCGTTTAACAGAAAGGAACCAAGTCACATCAGCTATTGCCAAATTTAATCGGGCAATTTAATTTTTTACAATGAAAACGGTTGTGCGGATTTTTGTGCAAATTTTAGTGAATTTTCTCCATAATACAAAGCAAATTCCTTAATATTTTCAAAGGAATCCGCACGAACGTTCTCTCGGAAAAAATAAAATTTCCCTGTTAAATTTGGCAATAGCTGATGTGGCTTGGTTCCTTTCTGTTTAACGCGGTCCAATTTATCCTTATTGGTACATCATTTCAAGAGATCATGACGTCGTCATTGTTTGGATCCACTGGCGAGGCGTGAATGATCGATGATCGATTACCTATCGATATTTCCCCATTTGAAGCTATGGTAAATAATTGATTATGAAGGTGTTCGTTGCGAACACTTCTGTTTATCGATCCTTTTCAATAGGTTTAAATGGCGGATCAATCGATTTATCGCAAAGCACACCACGCCACTGTTTGAATCCTATTCGAAAGAGAAAAGAATCTCTGAATGAAGTCACCCCTATTAACGTCAAATTAAAAACTTAACTAAATTTTTCAGGTTTTTTTTTGTTGCTTTTTTGGGTAATTTTGAAAATTACAATACAACACGTAAAAATTCGCTGTTTCCGTGAGCTTAATTTTCCCCGGCTTGTAGGGACATTTTGCTCTTTTTGTCCCAACTTTTGATGATTAACTCTGATTTTCGACAATTTTCCCTGATGAAGATCAAATTCATGAACATTTCGACGGTGTGAGTCGGCAATCACATAACTTGGTTCGCGACGTCGCAGACTTCCTGTCATAGGTACTTTTGTATAAACGGAATGGCAATTCTTTAAAACTGCCTTGATTTTTCTTTCTCTGTGCAAAGAAAATTCTGCAAAAACCTTCAAGGAAAGATGTCAATTTGTTCTCCTTTTAAAAAGAATTACAAAGAGGCGAAGATTTTCAGACACCACAAACAAGTTATGTGATTGCCGACTTTCACCGTCGATTTGTGTCGAAAACCATATTAAAAGCATTCAAACTACTTTTTACTTTGATTTTTTTCTCTGGAACCTTCATTCACTTTTATTCAGAAGTCATGTTTTATTCGACAATTTTTCGTGTTTCTATCACAAAGGAAGAAAGAAAAAGCCTAGGGAATATTCGTGCCCTCATTTAATAGGGAACTATAGAGGATAATTAAAGGACGCCCATCATCAATGACAACCAATACAAAGACGACCTTTTCTCAGCGACGCAGTTCAAATCATGCAACGACGATAAACAACGAACCATTTGCGGATGAATAAAACTTCTACGGAGGAACACCTTGAGCGCCTTCAATTTTGTCTTTATGCAACATGGACATCCACGGAGTGGTAATATTTGTATCTTCAATGCGTTACCATCGACATTACGCTTACGCTCCTCTGTCGTGTTGACTTACGGGACTTCAAGATTTCTTTCTGTTCTCTGTGGTCCATGCAATATTGCCACATTTAATGAGATATCATCTTCTTACTTTCCAGGATGCACAGAGGCACAGAGAAACAATTTTAATCGAGAGGGAATCCGCAAAATTACATTGTTGCACAAAGATTAGGTACTTAGGTACTTGAATTCAGTTCTTAACGGGGAAAAACGGATACACGATGGCCTAATACGGCATCTTAGGCATAATAAGGTTGTCTTTGGGGCATGAGTTAGAGATAACCTTCCAAATTACATCATAAGGGTAAATGAGCTGTATAAAGATAAGGTACTATTTTGTAGACTATGCAGGGTCGGACTGACCATAAGGCCAATCTGCCATTGGCAGATGCGCCCCTCTTCCGGCTGCTAGAATGATAATGAAGAGAATGAAGAAAAGAAGAAAAGAAATAAAGAAAAAAAAGAAAAAAAGGGAGAGAAAAAATAAGAAGAGAAAAAAGAAAAGAATAATAAATAAAAAGCAAGGAGAAAAGAAAATAAGTAAAGAAAAAAAATGCCTAAAAATTATAAGCAAACGGGAGAAGCTTTAATAGGAGTTATAGAGGAAAGTGTATTCTGTATGCTGTCCCCCTGTCTCATTTTTTTTTTTTTCTTTAGCTATGTAGTATGTATATTCATCAGGGCCGGATTTACCTACTTGCCGCCCATGGGCCGCTTGTATTTTGCCGCCCCCTTCTCATTCGTTTTGAAACATCAATAAAACCGTCAAGTGAACGTGCCGGAGGTAGCGGGGTGCATAAAACGCGTTTACTCGTGTTAGACACATTTTTTGCGAAAGCCCTGTCAACACTACTAGCGAAAGTTCACGGAACTTTGCGCGAAAGTTAAGTCCCGTAAACCTATCTCTTTGTGGACATAAGGCTTTCCATTTATAAGCATTGAACGAAAAAATTAAGAAAGAACAAACATAAATGTGGTTTAATAATTTTAACTTCCGCGGCCGCGCCGCTCCGCGCTGATCGCACTGTATTTGGCGCAATGCGGGAAGTATTCCTACAGTCTTGTAGGCGCTATGCGTTTCACGCCGACCGCTGCTGACCGCACTGTGTCTGACGCAATGCGTGAAGTATTCATGCAATCTTGTAGGCGTTGATATGAGTTACATGCCGACCGCCGCGCCGAGGGCTTCTTCTTTTCATCTCAAGTCCTCGTCATCATTCCTCTCTGCGCTGAGCACCAGGCCAAATTGCGTGTTGAGTCCCTCTCTTAATTCGACTAATTAAAGATGCTGTCTCTTGTATCACCGAAAAACAACAAAATTAGAAATTACTATACTCTCAGAAAAGGGAGATTCTGTCCCCTTTTCTCATTGATAATTCTTTTCTCTGAATCCCATTTTCAGTGTATTTTCCCGAAAAAAATACACAATTTTTATACCTACATTTAAAAAAATTGCAAAATTTGCCGCCCCCTAAATTTGCCGTCATGGGCCACGGCCCATGTGGCCACCCCCTTAATTCGGCCCTGATATTCATTGTTCCCACTTTGTTTTAACATTTAAAAATTTAAAATTAAAATGTATTGTATAGTTATTTGTACAATATACAGGGTCTGAAGTATTTCTTGTGACCCTCATTTTCCAACTTTCAGTTTTCAAAAACATGATTTTGGATCTCTCGAGCTCTGGCTTGTTTCTTCCAGAGATAATGGTGCTTGGATGCCTCGAATTTTGATTGATCGATTTTACTTTTTTCATCTCACAATTCTTCCGATACATTTATTATTATGTTCAATTTCAGAATTTTCCTTTGTAAGATTAATCGATTTTGAACCTGAAAATATCGTCAATATTCTACTTAGAAGAGTTTGATTTTTAAAAAATGTCGGCCTTTCCGAGAGAGAGAGAGAGAGAGAGAGAGAGAGGGGGGGGGGGGTGTTCCCGCATACTCCTGAACAAAATATCACATTGCGCCCCCTTCGCCGGCTAAGGGTGTGCGCCCTCAGAGGTGCGTCAGTCCGACCCTGAGACTATGGGTCATATCAGGTATTTTCTCAAATGCTTCAATATGTGGTCAGTACTAACTTGGATTGAAAATCTAAAATTCTTTCCGATTTTTTACGAGACTGATGTTTCACAAAAGTAGGTGGATAGAAGCTTTTAGATAAATCTCTCATCAATTTATGACTATTTCCAGAGTTTTTGGCACTGAGTAAACATCCATCTAAAATTGTTTGATGTGCCTATCATGAAGTACAGATTGCTCACAAGTTTGGCGGGGAAAAAATGATGTGAAATAATGTGTCTGTCCGCCCGAGCATTTGACAAAAAATTCTTGATTTGGCCATTGGTCTGCGACGTGTAAGTATAACATTAAACGCTAGACGTCCTTTTTAAAATAAAAAATGGCTTAGAATGTAGGTACCTGATGTTGGATGGCTTTGTCGGTAGAATGGAGAAATTGCAGGGAAGTAGGTATTTGGTGAATTGAATTAGCGAATGAAAACTACTGAGTATAGGCTGAGTTGTATGATATCCTTGGTCTCTAAATAGAACTATTATTATAAGAATTACTTAAGTTACGGCAGAATGTTTTACTCCGCTGAAATATGCGTGTTCAAGTTCATGAAAAACACCATTTTATGATGTCAAAGAGCATAACATTTTCCAGATTTACCACTAAGTTTAGCCAATATTCCAATACAGAATGGCTAAGAAAAAATACTGTACCTACAGACCTACACACCCAATCAAGCACAGCCCATGAAGCAATAGAATTGTATAGTGCGGATTATCAATTAAATAAAAAAGGTAAGGAATCATTAGGAATATTTAGAAAAAATTGTAATCGATGATAATGTAAAAATTTAATCAAAAAATCAAAACAAAGCTATTGAAAAATATAAGTCTCATAAAAATGCTTTGGTTATACAGACGTAAAAATGTACTTACAAAGGTATAATACAAAGAAATGTACAAAAACAATATATGAGATGTTAGTAGGTATAATTAAAGACAAGGTGTCCTTGGCATCAATCATGTATGAAAAATCTTCATGGCTCTGGAGCTGTGAAGCTAAAAACATGGCTAAGACATTGTAAAACGTTTGTAATACCTAGATTTTTACGGAATAAGTATAAATTAGATTGATTCACTTTAAGTCCAGAATACACGATTTACAGTCCTGACAACCTTCATTCATGATTTAGGTTGTGAACAGAAATGAAAGCTGCCAAAGCTTGTCGCTTCAAGTACGAATTAAAGTTAATAATACCTTCCATATCAAGCTCCGAAGATAAAACTTAAGAATAGAACGGAGCAGTTCCAGGGTTTTTTTTTTCAGATCCTCTGCGGGTCTTTGGAGTGTAAAATGTAGATTTAGAGAGACTCAAAGGCTGGAATTATCCCTGGGGCCCTTAAACTTTAGGAACTGGGGGCCCCTAATGACCAGCACAGCGAGCTCCTGAGCGTTAATTCGGCATTGTATCCATGGGCCCCCTTCTCAAATGATACAGAGAAGTTTACAGTTTCAAGTTAATCAAAAATCCTAATTTCATATGAAAATCTCAGTTTTTGTAAAGAATCGAGATAGGTATAAATATTGTTGCGTTTGCACAGCTTAAAATTGTGTTTAGACTAAGCCAAATAATTTCGTTCACAAATTTGCAAATGAGGAAACCCGGAATTGTCATTAGACAGGTCCTCCCACCCACTTTCTGAAAAATCTTCCCCTGTGGAAGATCCATGTGAAGGATCAAAACTGCTCAACAATGCATCTTATGGCAAAGATAGGTACACCAAAGTTACAAGCTACATATGCGCTCATACATAAAAATTTGAAAAAATTTATACTTAGGCACTAAACCCTACTTAGCATTTTTTAAAAAAAATATTTTGATTTGAGGTTTTTAGGGACCTTATAGAATATTTGAGGCCATACAGACAATGCTTCTCCACCAAAATTTTTTGTGAATAAAAAATAGGTAAAAACATTCGGATGGAAAGAGGTTCCTTCTAAATTTCTGTATTCAACCTGATAGTTAACAAATGATGATTCTGAAAGTAATGCTAGAAAGAGGACTACAAATTGTGACGGATATGTAATGAGCTTATGCCAAGTGAGATGAACAAAAATATAAAGCTAAAAAATTTAAGTAGAAAGATTAAAATTATGATGTCATCAGTCAATAGGACAAAAGGATTTAATATTAGAGCAATGATCTTCGACGGTAATTGCAAATTTCCCTTTTCTTGCCAATCAAATTTTGAATAGTCTCAATCTTCTTTTTCTCGATGCTTAGCAACTTGATAGTGATTCTGCAAAATTTTTAACTTTGGTACCTACCTCCCTTTTCTCAGGTAGGTATCTCTCTTATTATAGACATGAAGGCAATTCTACTTTGTTGCTGACAAAGCCAGGGGCGGACTGGCCTGCCAAGACACTAGGATATGTCCTGGCTCTGGCCCTATTCTTCAGTACCTTCTGGACACCCCTTCAGTGATGCCCTCCGGGTGTTCCTATCCTGCGCCCTCTTAAACAGTCGGTCCGCCCCTGGACAAAGCAATGACTTTAATTACAGAATCAAGCTGCTGCCTCTCTCCATAAATTTTTGGTAATATTATTGCTTCCTTACATTTATGCCTTTGCGAGAGTACCTGCACTTTTTTTTCTTTACATGACTTAATTGCTGACACAAATGTAAACATTTCCAATTAAATGAAAATAAAGCAAGCTTGTTGAAGGCTGTTCAAACCTAGACCAGGTTTGGCAGAAATGAAAAGGCTTAAAGTTAAAAATTTGAATTAGAAGCTTTTTCGAATTTAGCTTCACAAAAACATTCTTGTTTCAAAAGACTCCAGATGGAAAGTCCAAAGTTTATTAATATATAGAGCTGAAAGCTGAGCCTGCAATTAAGTGTTCTGAAGGTGCAGAACTTAAAATATTTTCTCCTGATATAAAATCAGTGCGGATAACTCTTTCCATGTAACTTCATCTACTTTACACTTTCTTATTAAAATTTTGATGTACTATCAACAAACTGAGTGAATTGTTGACTAGGATTTTACTCTTTTACTCAGAACGATTTTTTGAAATGACCATTACAGTTGCTCTTTCTTTAAAAAAATTTAATCTTTAAAAAAAAAATTTTCTTCCAAAGTGAAATCAGTCCAAAAATGTTTCTTTCAAAGGTGTTCAATAGCGTTTTTTCTGATACCTGTCTTCCTTCAACTAGCCTACATCCAGCTCACTATGAATACAAGAAAATTTTTCTCACTAGCTTCTGGCATCAGCTAATTTAAAAAACGCCCTAAAATTTTGGAAAAAGTCAAGAAGGTTTACATAATGATTTGAGGTTCAGGTACTGAACTTGCGATTGATTTATGGGGTAAAACTTGTCCGCCATTAATGTACAATTCATCTTTAACAATGACATCCTCACCTAGAACAGTAATATTTTCCATTCTAACCCACTTGCCAACAATACATCGCCAGCCCACAATACACCCACTGAGCCATGAGTGAGATTTGATAATGGCACCTTCCAGAATGGTACTCCTCTTGATACAGACGCCATCTTCCAAAATAACGTTTGGTCCAATTGTGACATTCGGGCCAATTCTACAACCTTCACCAATTTTTGCCGTAGGGTCAATGAGAACATTGCCAACTATGCTGTCTCCACTGCCGAGAAGATTAGGTTGACGATGGCGTAAAGAGGAAAGGTACAGGCACATACCTGTCAGAAAGTCACGAGGCTGTCCGACGTCCATCCAAAAGCCTTCAAGTTCCATTGCGTACAGCTGGCCTTCATTTGCCATGAAAGGGAAAACTTCTTTCTCAATACTGGTTGGCTTCAGTGGGATCCGTTTCAATACATCTGGGTTCAAGATGTACATGCCAGCGTTGATCTTGTTTGATACAAACTCCTGTGGTTTCTCAATGAAACTGTCAATTTTGCCATCCTCATCACACAAAACCACACCATATTTAGATGGCTCTTCCACTTTAGTAACAACTATGGTGCCCTCTTTGCCATGATTTTTATGGAATGCAAGCAAGTCTCGGAATGGAAATTCACAAATAATATCAGAGTTGAGAACGAAGAATGGCTCAGGTGTGGACCCAAGAATACTCTTGGCTAAAGCAAGAGGCCCAGCAGTACCGAGAGGCTCTGTTTCATGAGAGAATATCAAATTAATGCCAAGCTTAATAGCTTCAGTATTTAGCTCTTGCTCCATTTGCTCAGCCCGATAAGAAACAGCTAGGACAACTTCTGTCACTCCGGCAGCAACTAACGCTTCCATTTGATGAAGTAGCATTGGTTTGTTCGCAAATTCCACAAGCGGTTTCGGGCGACTGAGGGTGAGGGGTCTGAGTCGAGTTCCGTAACCCCCAACAAGAATCAAAGCCTTCACTCGAGAAGTTTTGTTGTCTGTACCGCACATTTTTCAAGTTCCAACACGTACTTAGTGGTCACCAAATAATGGCCGGAAAATCACTACGAGAATTATAGGGCGGAAACGAAAGTCTAGAGTCACTAATTGAGGATCCTATCATCAAGAACCTTTGACAGGTGGTAATTAATAACTTTAGGGTCGTAAAAGGCACAATCATCGGCTTTTTGTCTTCAAATGACCACGTAAACATGCACAGTTTGCATTTGACACATCATCATTAGTGGAGTCTTCACTCGCGATAAGCTTTAGGAGTTTCGGTGTATCCGGGTGCGGTTAAATTGAAAGATGGATAGTTTTTTCAAAAGGCACACAAACAGTAATTGCCGGTACACTAAGAGCGATTGAAATAAAGAAGAACGTAATTTTTCGTGTGTTTGAAGAGCTTGGATTTCGCGTTTCTTGCTTTCTTCTCTTCCCTAATCAACAAATGTTATCAAACTCGTGATAAATAAACAAACGTTGAACTTGCGCCAACTCTTCCAGAGAGAGCACCATTCACCATTTATGTAATTTATAGGTTATGGTTCCATTCATACGCAGGCACATAATTAGATTTGCAGCAAATTTTGAATTCTTTACGATATTCCAGAGGTATCAAGTGTCTTACAATGAGCAGTAAGTCCTTTAAGTATTAAGTTGCTCTCGCCAAATCATTAAATAAACAACATCAAGTTCCTGTGCCACTGTTCCGAATCATCTATGCGTACTTGTAGTCTGGGTAAGTTGCTTGTTACAACCCTCTCATATTACCTAAGTTAACAATTTTTTCTTGAGAGTAGCACCTTAAATGTGTGTAGCATTATAAATCAGCCCAGCAATACAGTAAGCAGGGAGCTCTCACACCAATCTCAGGGAATGACTTTATTATCCATCTGCATCACAAGGGTGCAGATTAGGGATGGTCGAATATTTAGATAATCGAATATTTGATATTCGAATTATCGGCACTGAGATAATCGCATCACTTCCGAAGTATTCGCAATCGCAAATTCGAATTCGATAACCGTCCATCCCTATCGTCAATCTCGTAATTAATTACATAAAACTAGTCCACAACTCCGCACGAGAATGACTGACCGTCTTAGTTAAAAGTGTCATTTATCTCTCTTGGCACATACTTGAAAAATCAAAAATTGAAGCAATGATCGAAAATATTCGAATATTCACTTCTGAAGTATTCACAATCGCAAGATTCGAAATCTCAATTAATCGCATTCGAAAAGTTTCGAATTCGATATTCGTCCATCCCTAGTGCAGATCTTCCAAGCCTCCATGTTTTCACTTGTCTGCCTGTCTGCTTTTCACATATTTCTCATCAGTTTTCCAAAAAATTTCCCACCTATTTTCATAGTGAGGGCTTTTTTCCTTTCTTTCCTTTGATTTTCTACTTTTGACCCTTAAAACTTTTCCCTACCACAGTTGTAAGGGCCTTTCCACATTTTCCCCTGCCCAGGCAGATGGGGTGGTTCTGAGAATGTATCTCCTTCCCCCATCACACAGTTAAAGTGATTTCTCATTTTTTACTTCACGTCAAGCTCAAAAGCCCTGTACTGTTGAGATAATACTAATTTCACTGAAAATGGGATCCCAGTTCGGTTTAAGTGATTATATACTAAAGATATAATCAATTTAATGATCTCCAGGATAAAGGGTCAAACATTTTTAATACTATTTTTTTACTAAAGCTCTATTCTCTTATTTCTGTTCTAGGTGCAACATGAATTGGATACTGATGAAAAAATTCTCATGGACATCTTATGACTACTACCAGTGGAAGCTGCCGAAACTTCGCAACTTTTGATTATTACCAGTGGATAGCCTACGAGGGATTTTAAACTTCAGCACAAGTCTTTTTGTAGGAATATTTATTATTCTTTGCAATGAAATGAAGAAAAATTCAAACGAAATATTGCCTTTGCCTCATTAATTGAAGCTCAAATACATTGAGCATGTATGTCATGTTACCGTAATGTCCCAAATATTTTAGAGGGTAGGCAACTTAGCATTGAAAGAATGTAATCTTCATGACATTATTTTTTGAGGTTGTTAAGATTAATGTTGCAGTGTTTTCAGATCTTAAAATAGACCCTGATCGCATTTATTCGTTTTTCCTACCTTTTTCTTTCTTATGCATGAATAGTAGACAAAAAATATACTTAATATAGTAGCTTTTATGTTTGCACTGTGGAGTTTATTTATTTTATATCCAAATTAGGTATCATTCCTAGAGTAGAAAAAGTGCTCTTCTTTTGCTATTTCAATTTTACTGCTAAGTTTAAACTTTCAACCGATAGAAAATTTCCGGCACATTAATTTTAGGAAAATATAAGCACAAGCCACAACTTCTGCAATTTCTCTCTACTTCTTCACAATAACTCTAAAATCCATATTTTTAGCAAACTGGCACACATACCACAACGAAGTTGCAACTGTTGACGTGGGAGGAATTTTTTAATTAAAGAAAACAAAAATGCAATTTTCGAAAATAGCTTGAAGTAAATTCTCTATTATTAAATACTATCTATATTAGAAGTAAAATCTCGCTTTACTTCAGGCAGTGTAACATTGCAAATCTTGCTTGATGTCCATAAAATCGTCAGAATAATTTTTTTTTCAGTTCGCTCAAATCTTGTTTCCGCCTACTTTGCATTTTTGTAGAAGGTTTTTTCCTATAATTTTACATGTACCTGTTGGTCATTTGGTGTCACCAGATAAAGGAGGAAGATAATTTATGTGAAAAGAGTTCTGTACCTATTTATATCCTGCGTTCCTCTCAGCAACTATTCATCGTAAGAAAGTAAGATGGTAATGATTGCCAGCCTTGGAAGAGAGTAAGATCTGAAAATTATGAAAATAATTTTAGGTATGAGTCAACACCTATTTCTTAACAACTAGGCAATCCTGTCTAACAGATCCTCTCTTTTGAATCATAAATGCACTAAAGTAGCTTAGAAATTAATGGATTTGCCATATTTTTGAATGGTGTCTCCAAAAAGACCCCTCATTTACAAACTTTCACTGTCATATTAGCCCGATTTGATGTAGGTACCTTTTTTTTCTCTGTCTCAATTTTTCACCTCTTCAGAGGGACTCGTTGCTCCAGCCAAGCTTCCTTCTTTTGGTCCAGGATAAAGAATTACTTAAAATTTTTGGATTGAATTTATGTCGAGGGTTGTGAAAAGAACAACAGGGCAAAATTTCATGCAGAATGCAAAGAAACAAAATAAAATATAATTGGGAACGATAAAAGTGTCCCAAATACGAAATTGCACCCTCTACAGGTGGATGAGGGAAGAGTACAAAAATACATGCTGAACAATTTTCACAGCTGTGCATTCTTACTATAATTTTTAGGGATAGGTAGTTTAAGATCTTTTAGATTGGTGAGTACTTACCTTTTTGATACTAGACTGCATTTGGCAGTAAGGCTCATTTCAGAAACAAAATATATGATATTGGTTTCCTTAGGCAAAAAGGGATTTTATTTTGCTAAAGGGAACTACTATTTCTGATCCATTTTAGAAACAACATAAGTATGCCATTGGTTTTCCTATGCAGATATGTGCTTTTATGGGAGAGCCAGAGATAGTGGTCATTATTGCAAAATGTCATTCAAGTTAGTGTCCCCCAAATTACTCTGAGAACCTGTATCACCTCGTTTCATTGCACTGATTTTATTTAAAAAACACGGTGAAACATTTTCCGGGATGTTCTGTAATCCTAATTTTTGAAGATATTTACTTCGCCGAATACCGGTAGAGATCTGGACCTAAAATACAACGTTGTCTGATAGGTCTGATAGTAGGCTGTGGATAAAACAGCCAGCTGCGCGCACTTTGCCGACGAAAGCTGCATGGCAACGTTGCATAGTCCGTAGTGCTTGTCGCTCGTCGCTGTAAAATGAGTCCGATGTTTTTGATTTCGGCCGAATGTTTTCGTTCTAACCTGCCACATGTATAAATAACTCTTTCAAGTTTCAATTCAACCAGCCCGCTTTAGAATTTAATAAGTGAAACGTCTTTAGTTTGTTCAGCCCCAACGTTTTCTATATTATTTTCCGGAAAATGTCCTCGATTTAATGAAACTATTATAGTTTCATGACGGGATGGCCGGTCCAAACTTGTGTCTGTGTGGTGTCTCTAGTCAGTTAGGCACCTTTATTTTCGTGTAGTTTTCACATCTCCTCTGTGTAAATCAGGTAAAAGATTAGTCCAGGTACTTACTTTTCATAAAAAATTTGTATTTTACCATAAATTTTCAGCTGTCACTTAAGGGACATATGTCTAGGGTTAGTCAGTTATGATTATGTTCGTATATAGGTACATACATAATCCCTCAGCAGTCAGCGCTGAGCTGATGCCCAGATATTGCATACATCAACATATTGCTCCTCAAATTTACTCCCTATGCTTTCAGTTTGAGTTAATTTAATGCAAGAATTCCAACATAGGTCATTATTCAATACCTGCAAGGAAATTGTCAGGTGTGCAAAGAACTCGTCAGGGGCCCACTTATTTGACCCAATCTATGCTCAAACATATTCACCAGTTTCATCGGTATATCTCTCTCTCTTATCTTAGATGCAATCAGCCGCACAGTATTGATAAGCTCTGTAATGCCATTATCATCTGCTCATCATCAATACCAAAGTTGGTCTTAGTAGCAATATGGTGCTTCATGCCTCAAGCAGTCTCTAGTTATTAACTCTAAGGGGAACATGATCAGACTTTATAATCTTTTCATAATTGCGCTTGTTGGGTTTCTCCAGCCTGTTCAGCGCCAACCTCACAAAACTCCATACATTCCAACCTTTGAAAATGCATTTATCGCTCTTCATCTCTCAATGTCCATTTTCAGTAGAAGCAGGTTACCTCTTCGCAAGATGAAATGATAGACCAGGACTTGATAAACTGATGCCACCCCCAGTTTATCTAAGTGGATAGATAATATCTAATGAGATCCAGACTTCCTGAGATTATGGAGAACTGGATCGCCAAATCTAGAGTTCATGTCGAAGAGGTCTACTTTCCTCTGATGGAGAGTGAAAGATCAGCCATCTTGATTTTGGTATCACACTCGAGGTCTCTGTAGTGTCAACTCAAACTGGCTGTCACTGATTTTAATCAACACAATCGTTCTGAAATTGATTGGAACAATGTTGTGAGCAAAGTTACCCCCTCTAAGGTCCACCTCTTTGCTTCGTCTGCTCTCATTTAGTCATAATCAATTGCTCTTCTCACCGACAAATACAAGCTACCAGATAGGGACTAAGTTTTAAAAAACAATCCTGGTCAATCAAGGTCAGTGTTCGATCTGGGAACAGAAAATTAGACTGCCCCCGCTCTGCACCACTTCTATGTTGCTCTCACTGTCTTTTAAAAATGTGCGGAGCATCAGAAACTTTTATTTTATTTTCCCTCTTTTACAGCAGTATAATGATATTTTCATTTAAAAATTTACGTTTTGTTTATCATTTTTCAGCTTACAAACAGTCATGGCTGTTGTAATTGAAACCACCCTAGGTGACGTAACAGTTGATCTTTTTATTGAAGAAAGGCCTCAAAGTGAGTATGTCATTTACCTTTGCTCTTTAATGACACTCTTCAGTTCTTAGCTTCTGATACACTCTTGTAAGCATGAATTTATATATATATTGAAGTCGCTCGTACAACGCACTCTGGAGTTCTGCGACACCCAAACGCCACGTATGCCTGTCCTCCCAGAGGTCATCGGGCAACTGACACCGCAACATCTCTTTGTCAACCCCCTGCCGCCACCCCTTTCCGGGACGTTCCAGGTGGTACCCAATCCACAACTTGTTTGGGCAACCTCTCCTCCAAGCATGAAAACAAGCATGAATTTACTCTATAAAAACAGAGGTTTTGCTTGATAGATGCTTTGTGGCTAAAACCAGACCATAAGAAATGGTCTATAGAAAACTGAAAGCGTTAAAAAAGAGAGACGCCATCAAAAAGTAATTTTAAATCGATTCTGTTCCATCAGGTATAAATAAACACTAAGTACAAACAATGATTTACACTTGCACTGACAACCTATAAGAAGGCAAAGAAGTATGTTGATGGCTCTAGTTTTGATGATTTATATTGCAAACAGCTGTAGGGTTTGAGTAACGGTTAGCAGCTGCCTAAAATTCTTAAGTTTATCGCTCATGAAATAACACTAGTCTCATGGGTAAATTTTCAAGTAGACCTCTCTTTTTCCTGGGAATTGCAGTACCTCCCGGTAGTTCTGCACAGAATAATTATTGAATGCTTAAGAAGAGTACCTACTTTATGAAACCCCTACAAAAAACTCTAGAGAGGAACAATGTAATAGTTAAAATATATGCTGAGGAGAATCTGCAGGACTGAGTCATTAAAAAGACTTCCCCCACCATGGAATACTGGTCTCATGCAATGCTAAAGTGTGATTTAAGTTGTGACTGCCTTTTGACCTCTTTTTCCATGCCCAAATGCATTTACTTAGCCTCTACTGTCTCTACTATCTCTGATTACCATGCATGTGTCATAAGATCCGAGTATGTAGTATTGACTATGCTCTGACATTTCTCAATAACATTCCTCAATTTTTCAATATTATTCTATCAATATTGTCTAAAGACTGAACGATTTCTATTGAAAAATCCTGCTTTTTATCATTATTTTACCTCTTAATTCATATGTATTGTCTTTTTTCTTTTTTTTAGCATGCAAAAATTTTTTGAAACTCTGTAAGGTCAAATACTACAATTTCAATCTGTTTCATTCGGTCCAAAGTAATTTCCTTGCCCAAACTGGAGATCCCACTGGTACAGGAAATGGAGGAGAGTCCATTTTTGGGTGAGATATGTTCTATTAATTACTTTTCTCACTAATTATCATTTTTGGCCTTTTGATACAAAGGCCGTACAATAAAGACTGATCTAGGCCTGCCAGATTGCTGATATTAATGATATTTGCATCGCTGAAGGAGCAGGTAATGATGCACCTGTCATGGAATTCACAGACCAAAAAGCACAAGATTGTCTTGATCAGGTCATTTGCAACAGTGGTTCAGTACAAATTTTGCCTCTAAATTTTCAAGATATCATAAATACGTGAGCAAGGATAACGATGCATTTTAATCGAAGGTGTTAATTGGTAGAAAAATGTCATCACTGCTGACAAAAGCCGGATATATTGTAATGATCCTGTGCCAAAGTAAACCAGTGCACAGTGATTAAAATGTGTTCTGCCCCAAGTCAGAAAGCCCAAGGCCGAAAACCAGCCTGAAAGGTAATGGTCATCACTTTTTTGTCACTGTGAAATGATCTAGACCTGAGGTTCCATGGTCACAGCAGTCCATCATACGCAAGTTCTTTGGCAGGAGATGAAAGATCAATAAAAACATATTAAAATACAAAACAAATGGGTCTACAAGGCTAAGAGAGTATAAAACAAACCTGTACCTTTCGGGCCGATTGCATGCCCATTCTCAACTGGAACAAAAGCTAAAAAATGTAAAAATTAAAATAAGAAAATGAGCATGCAACTGATTGAGGTAGGAATTAGTGCAGTTTGTATTTTAATGTGTTTTTATTGTTGTGTGCACTCAGGCTATTGGTCTCATCTCTCTCTTGTCATGAGATGAAAGATCTTAACTTAAAAAAAAGGCCAGTTCTCATAGGTAGAGGCAAGCTGCATCTCGATGATACAAGACCAAAAATTGAAAACTATTCATACAGTACAACATCCATGCTAAAGTGCAGATTTAGCCCCTAATGACTTATATTTATATACAACAGCCAAAAAATTCCTAGATAGGCAAATGCATAACACGAAGAAAGCAGGATTGAAAGCTTCAGAGATGGCGCTGAAGCTTATGTCAAGAAATGGCCTCTTATTTATGTTTCTTGAGTGGAATAAAAGTTCAAACAGTACCATTTTCCTTCAGGGGGAATATTGTCACCAACTTAAAGCTTAAAAATTGTAATTTTTACTCAACTATAGGTACCTACCTTTTTTTTTTTTTTTTTTTGAAAAATCCTAGACTATTTTGGTCGGCTCCCTTATATCAGACTCACAAAAGCGATTGTTCCATAAATATTCATTTTTCATTTTCTGATCAATTATTTAACCAGCTCAGACTGTAAAAACCATCAGTGTTTTCCCTCAAAATGATCCAGCAATTCAGACGCAGAAATGCAATCAAATAAAAGGATGATTTTAGGTTCAATTTCTGCGTTCTATAGATGTATCAATCTGAAAATTGGGTTTGAATCACCACCGAACAGGTTTCTTATTTCATCCGATGTTAGCAACGTTAACTTATGATTCCTTTAAAAAGTAGCTCTGTATTTAAGCTCTTCTATCACTAAGACTTGTTGTCTAAACATTTAATGCAATTCATCATCTTTTATATATTTTCAGGTTAGTGATGGGACTTGAAGCCCGTTATTATGAAGGAGAAAAAACTCCCAAAATAAAACATAATCGTCCAGGCCTTCTATCTATGGTCAACTGTGGAGGCAACATGTGAGTTCAATCAATTTTTGAATAAAGTCACCTTTTTAGTCAGATGAGACTTCATAGTATATTCAAATTATCCTTAAAACCAAGCAGCAGAAGGAAAGGGCAATATTTAAAACTAAATCGAGTTCACAATATGCTTTAAAAATGCTTCACAATTAGTTCCACTCTAGATCTGCAGGTAGTAGTTTTACTGCTTGGCAACATAAAGAAAAGCTGCTGTAGAAAATATTGGTCATAATGAATCTTTTAGCACAATGCAACCAACAACGAAAATGGTTGTGTTGATTGGCTGAACAAGCAAGTTCTAAGAACAGAGATGCTTAGAATCCTGCCTCAGATACCCAAATCGTTTCGAATGAAAGATAATGTTTTTTCCTATTCTCATCAAGGTTTAAATTTATACGTCTGTATGGACCGAACATTCAAAAAGATTTATGCATCAGTTTTATTCTAAAAAGCACTCAATTATCAAAACGTTTTTTCTCAGTTTTAGAGGTGTGAATCTCAGAGAATTACATGCTGGCTGATGCTACAGACTGATTTGAATAGGATCTTAATGGATCTCGCCAACTGCAATTAGTCCAGGTCCATTCAGATCAGCCTGGACGGATCATGAATGGGATTGATTGAAAATCAACTTTCAAACAAGCCTAGAGGAACTATAGTAACTGCTGCTCAGCCTGTTGAACAGAAATTAAAATTTAAACAAAATATCTGGTAGAAAAAGCTTACCTGATTGAAACTTTTTGTTGGTGTGAGCAGGTAAATTGTTACATCTAGATGGACATAGTCTTCCATTCCTCTTACAAGAATATGTTTTTGATGTTAGAAATCAAACCTTACTCGCTTCACATTTGAGCACCCATTTCAAACGAGAACAATTTCTTTGGTGACGTTGAAAGAATTCTAAACGTTAAAATTATTCTGTTTACAGGTTGGGATCCCAATTTTTCATTACTCTTGGCCCAGACTTGAGTTCGCTTGATGATCACTGTGTCTTTGGTGAGGTGGTTGAAGGCCACGATGTCCTTCTTAAACTTAATGAAACGATTTGTGACAATTTGTTTCGACCTTACCAGGATGTCAGGTCTGTACAGATTCTTAATGGTTAAACTCCTCCTCTTGTTTTATTTTGCAATCATCAAATCACTTATTGTCATGCTCCCATCTTTACACTTGATCTGCAAGGAGTAAGTGTCCAATGCAAGGTAGTCTGCGACTTCTGGCACATTTGTTGGTAAGATTCCAATCAATTCAAAGCTTTTGTTTTTCGAGGAGAAAGAAAGTCGAAGAAAACAAATGCTTAAATTTGATTGAAATCATACACTAGAAAAATTTTGCCAGATAGTTAGTTTATTCAGGTTGGGTTCTCTCACTCTTCTGTCTGTGCAAACCTGGCTGCCTGCTTGCAGATGTGGGAAACTTTAAAAGCGTGTCACAAAATATGCAGAAGCAAATTGCTCGCTTAGGAGTGGTTGCAGACTTGCTTGATGTGCACATCGTGATTTTTTTGCAATTTTACATGTAGGAAGTTTATATACTTGCCTGTATCTCTTGTGTGCAACAGACGAACAATGAACAAATAATTGAAAATTAAATTAAATTATAAAATAATCCTACGTTTCACTACGTATAAACATTTGTAGATTTCCATGAACAGCCTTGACATCAATCTCAAATGAAACTGAAAATTCCTTACTACTGGCCCTCCATTTTTTTTTTTTTTTTTTTCTCATTTCCTAATAAAGTTTTATGGTTTATCTTTTCCTTATTTTATTAGTTTCCATTCACTGAAATGTTGACATTGAAGAAGAGAAGTATTAACAAATTATTGATGAACAATTATAAACAATTCTCTAAATATGGCCTTTTTTCCGTCTTGATCATGTGAAATAAGGAAATGTTTAATGTTAATGTCATTTTATGTTACAGGATCACACATACTGTAATCCTGGAAGATCCCTTCGAAGATTTACCAGGCATGATCATACCAGACTGCTCTCCAGATAGATCTCAAATGATCGAAGTAAGTTTGTACCAATTTATAATAGAATGATTGAACCTAGTTTCGACCTTGAAATGACAGAATATCGGCTTAAGTCGAAAAATTCGTATCTCATTTTGCTGTTTTGTAAATCTCTGCTCGTGGTTTTTTTTTCTTCTTCTTTTTAAAGAAAAAGTAACGAGCAGTTTGAATTGAAATTTTCTATGAATTCTCACACTTATTTAGTCATTTCATAGAAATTGCACTAAATGTGAAGGAAAAATTTTGATCAGTTTTCTTTGGAGAAAGTAAAATATAATCGGAGAGTTTTGAATTTTGCAATTGAGATATGTTTCTTACACATATATATTAACATTGACATGCTATGGACCACTAGATAAGGTACGAATTTCAGCATTCTGATACATGTTTCTTAACCAAAATTTTACGTAAAACACGATGCACACAACGAAAATTACCGAAATTAACTCCTTACGAAGATATTTAATGATTCTTGATACGTGAATTCAAACCACCCGCTCATGAAAACTCAATGCTCTACGTGATTTACATCGCGCTAAACGTTATCATGACAGTCTCTGCGATACAAAAATCTGGCAACCTCAATCTTGACGCTTTGGCTCAGTTATAGCGTATTGCTAATAGTTTGAACAACACATGATGGGAAATGAACATTGCTTGATTGAAAAGCTTGCTGGAACCGTTGTAGTGGGCGATTTGACTCACGTAGAGTTTTGAGTTTCTTGTGAGCGGGCAGTTCAAATTCCTCGTAACCAATGTGAAATAAAAACGTTAATATCTTCGTCAGGAGTTGGTTTCCGTAATTTTCGTTGTGTGAATCGTTTTCTACGTGAAATTCTGGTTAAGAAACATGTATCAGATCGCTTAAATTCGTACCTTGTCTAGTAGTCCATTGGACATTGATATGCTAAAAGTAACGGAGATGGAGTATTTAAGGGAATCAGCAAGAATTTGTAGGAAGGATCAGATCTGTGTGATAGAATGCATCAAATCATGGAAGTGGAGAATAACATCATAACAAAACAGTTAGTCTGGTATAATCATGTCAGCCTGATGGTAGAAGGAAGACTGCTAGAAAGTAAGTTTGATAGGGTTCCTCCTGGGAGAAGGCAAGGGGACAGAGACACCCAATGAAGAAAGAGTGGTGATAAGTGGTTTTAGAAGGAATGAAGGAGCTTTTACTGTCTAAAGGGCTTGTAGAAGATGAGGGCTGTAGCGTTTAGGCATTGCAGAGCATGAGAGAGCGATATAAAAGCTGCTTATGCATAGGACAGGCCTCACAGGGTTTTTTTTAGCAAAGGCTTGGTTTTGAATTTCTTAAAAAAATTGCCTGAGTGCCTCATAAGTAAGACTTCCCTTGAAATAATTAATTTCGAAAATTACTCATTTTTTCCATTTTGTGGAATATTTTATCTCTTGTTCATTCATTGATTTTCTGCCTATCTCAGAGTGGTCGCATTGCTGCGGATGAATCAGTTGTCGAAGAGGAACTCTCTGAAGCGGCAGTAGCAGAATTACAGGCAGAAAAGGAAGCCAAAGCTCGTGCGACAGTCCTTGAAATAGTTGGTGATTTACCAGAGGCAGATGCAGCACCTCCAGAAAACGTGCTCTTTGTCTGTAAGCTAAATCCAGTAACCACCGATGAAGACTTGGAACTTATTTTTCGCAGATTTGGTAACATCAAAAGGTACTTTTTCTATTCTTATTCTACAAGAAGAAGCTTCTTTTTTGTCCTAGTGATCTTCTGAAGACATAATCATGAAATTATTTAATTAAATGTCTGGTTTCAGCTGATTGGTTTGTTATTGTTTGTGCAACAACTCTGTAATGTTAACTTTTAATCAGAGTTGGGCCGGGTATCCGGCGATTATCCGGATTGCCGTATTCTGGAGATCCGGCTCCGGCCGAATACGATTTTTGCGGATATCTGGCTCCGGCTGGATATGTTTTTCGCGGGTATCCGGCTCCGGCGAGATTCGATTTTTGCGGGTATCCGCATCCGGCCGGATAATCACGATATCCGGTTTTTAGACCTGCCGGATAGTGCTTTTACGGCCATGAAAATTTCGAGAAATGTTTGGTGATATTTTGGCATTTTTCTGCACAATTTGAGTAGTCATTGTAATTTTTCAACTTTTTGAAACTTGTTATCATCGGAATTGAGGACATTTCCCACACATTTACACGATTGCAACTTTACCCTTAGTAATGAAAGTCCGAGTGTTTCACTTTCAAAGACAAAGATGCAGGTGGAAGATGTAAAAAACAATGCCACCAACATGTGTATAAGTTCCCTTTTGGTAAAGTTTTTAGTCCAAGTGTAACTCCGTAATTATTGTAATGTCGCAGTATACAGCTTGTAATTGCAGCATCAAAGCGCTGTTTTCCACTTTTGTCTTGTTAAGGCACACTTCTAATAATATCTCTCCCTGCATATCAGATTCATCCAGCCCATCTCATTATGAAGCCAATGAAAGCCATGTTGCTCCTCTGCCAGGTCTTTTTTTTTAGTATTCGTTTTAGCGGGCCGACTCGTAGCGTACATGTCATTGAAAGATAGGGAGGTTGCTGGAGCAAAGGCACATATATCAAGGATTACGGTCTTGATGGTGTAATACACAGTGTGCCTCTTGTCCCAATCGCAAAATCGGGAGATTTTTCTCTTGCAATAAAGCACTATTCAGATCCTGGATATTATCCAGTTTCGGTCGGATACCTTGGCAAATTATCCTGTATCTGGCTCCGGCCGGATACAAAAAATTGATATCCAGATCCAGTGACGCGGAAAATCCATTTCGGCCTAACTCTATTTTTAATTCAATCACAATTTTTATTCCATGAGTCATTCGGAAATTTTTTATAGAAATTTTGCTCATTTTACTTGTCAGGTAGTGGTAGAGATCTGAAGGAAGGGGTTTTAGAACTAGCCAAAGGCAGTAAAGCAGTAGTTTGGAAAACCCAAAAGTTTCGTTTTGAGATGAATTGATTAAGTCTTATTTTTTTGACTCGTAATTATTTTTGGTGCGCATACAAGAAACGCATGCAGGTAATATCACTGAAGTAACAAATTCACACCTATTGCTGCAAGGAAATGAAATTAATTGAGTCTCATGCCCCATTTTTGTAATATTCGTCTTCATTTTTTTTATTTGCAGCTGTGAAGTCATCAGGGACAAAACGACGGGAGATTCCCTTCAGTATGCGTTTATAGAGTTTGAAGAGAAAGAAGCCTGCGAACGAGCATATGAAAAAATGGAAAACACCCTCATAGATGATCGCAGAATACATGTTGACTTCAGTCAGAGTGTGGCAAAGTTACGCTGGAGAGGCAAAGGGAGAGGTGTTGAGCATATTAATGTGGTAAGTATTCAACTATGGTTGTCTTTTCAGATTTTCCAATACGGGGAGAAAACAGACCACAAGGTGAGGTGAAAACTAAAGCAACAAAAAATAAATTTTCCTATCAACTCCTCTCAATAATTTTTCATCATTAATTATGAACATTTTCTTGGTTCTGTACATACTACTGTTAATATGCCGCTATTATTGAGCCATGCAATACCCAACCGCCACAGGGAGTGGTCCTGTCGGAGCTCCTCTGGTAAATTCCATCTCTTCATTTCCTGCCTTACACTGTCAATCCTCAATTCGGTAGGGCGTCCTCTCATGGTTCTGTTTTTACTCTGACAAAATCACGAGTTTTTCTCCTGGTAGAGACCCCATTTTCTCTTGATTTATAATGACCCAATTTCTGGCTACAAATCCCAAAATTCTCGCTGAAAACTGCCAAATTCTTGATTAAATTTTACTGCATTCCATGAATTCTGGCTGAAAATTCTTAAGTTCTTGCTGAATATCCTAAAATTCTCACTGAAAATTCTACAATTCTCACTACTAAATACCAAATTCTTCCTTGATTTGTGCATTTTCTTTTCATCTTTTATTTTAAACGAAAATATGAGGAATTTACCAACCTTGGAAACGCGGTGCATGCAGTCATGTAGAGGACTCAGGTTCAAGTGCTTAAAAACGACTTTTTGAAAATTCGCTTGAACGAATTTCTGGGGTCTCTACTCATGAGTCTATCAACAAAAATTGTTTTATAGAGTTGAAATTTCTATGAACAGATCCGTCAGACAAAATAGAATTCATGTGTATCTCAAATTAATACTTGTTTGAGTCAAGATAACAAATACAGGAAACAGTGGGGGGGGGGGAATAATAATTCTCCTTTACTGTTATCATTTTTTCATTGCGCCAATTGCAAGCACCAAACCATTCATACTGTTTGAAGTCAAATCTATTACATCTTCATTCCAAAGGGCCTTATAGTTACATGAAGGATAGCATATTTTACATTTTATCCTAAATTGATTTTTTTGTTCTAAAATTTGTTAAGTTGGATTCTAATTCTTTAGAAATTTTCATATTTTCTAATTTTCTGTTGAATAGAATGAAGGCCCAACAAGAAATGGTCAAGGTCGAAAAACAAGTGAAGAAAGGAGAATTGCTAGTCACACAGACAATGGCAGACGGACAGACCGGCGTAATTATGATCAAAGAGGTGACAGAAGCAACTACGACACATTCCGCAAAAGTGATCGCCCGGATTCCAGAGGCCAAGATCGCAGTGGAGACAGGAGAAATGATCGAAGTGAACGCAGCAGTGACCGAAGACGCGAAATCAAGACTAGTGAAAGCAGTAAAAGGGACTCCAAAGGAGAGAGGAACCATAGAGGTGAAATCAGAATGGAAGACCGAGACTACGACAGAAGAGAGAGAGGCAGGGACAGAGAAACCACCAAAGATCGAGATAGGGATAGGGGCAGGGACAGAGACCATGACAGAGATAGAGAACGCGACAGAGACAGGGATAGGTTTAAAGAAAAAGATAGGAACAGAGAAAGAGATCGCGACAGAGATAGGTACAAAGAAGACCGTAAAAGAAGTAGCGAGGACACGAGGGGAGAGGAGAGAAAAAAGGAAGAATCTAGTCACTACAATGAATCAAAAAGAAAGCAAGAGGAGTACGAAGAAAGAAGCAGCTCCATCAACAAGCGCATTCCTCCTGAAAAGAATAGCAGAAGAAATTCAATTGATGTAAGTAACAAGATAGATGAGCACGATACAGAGATCAAGAAAGATTCCAAGAATTCCTATGATAAACATAGTAGAAAAGAGTCCAGTCAAGATAAAAGGATTGACTATCAGGACTCGTACGACAACAAAGATTCTAGAGATAGAAAAAGTAGCCCAAAAAGGAGCTCTGAGAAAGAAGATAAGGAAAGAAAATCTAAAAGTTACAAGCTCTCAGAGGAAAAGCAGTTGCTTTCAAGCAGATCTCCAACTAACAATGAGTATGTAGTGATGGAATCAAACCACATTTCATCACCAGTTAGCATCCATTCACAACGAAGTAGCAGCTCTAAAAACACTGTTGTCAGAGCTGAAATGACTACAAAAAAAAGTAAGAAAAGGAAACTTAGCTCGTCCAGCTCTGCAAGCAGTAGCTCAGGCAGTAGCTCCAGTGACTCCGATTCTAATTCTAGCTCCAGTTCATCAGTTGACATGACAGTGGCCAAAAAATATTACAACCACAAAGGAAAACTAGTTCGTAAAGTTATCACCAAAAAACAAAAAAACAAAGATTCCAAGCGGAAGAAACGTAAAAATGACAAAATAGTAGTCATTAAAAAAATTAAAAAGAAACCGTCAAGCTCTGATGACGATTCAGAATCATCGAGTGACAAAAGTTCCCATGAGCGGCATAAACGTCGTAAATCAAAATCAAGTAAAAAGAAGAGTAAGAGGAAACACTCAGAATCGGATAGCGATAGCTCTGATTCCACTGGTAGTTCTCGAAAAAAGAAGAAAAAGTCCAGAAGGAAATCAAAAAGAACTTCAAGCAGTGATTGATGTTGTCATGCCGCACTTTGATAGCTTCTTTTTCATTATGCATAAGATTCTCAAAAAAAGATTACTTCTGATTCCGAAAATGAATGGTTGAACTAGTATACGCTAAAGGAGCATATATTAACATTACAATTTAATCAGAAACAATGGTTGCACACAGAAGTTTTGATAATGGATAAGAGATTGTCTGCATTTTTTTTTCTTTGGTGGACATTTTTATGGATATGAGTGAATGTTTTGACCCAAAAATAGCGGAAGGTTGTATTAATAAATAAGTATTCAAATGGTGAATTGTGATTAAATCACAGCATTTAAAAGTACAATAGCTCTGTATCTAGATGGTGCTAAAGCATTATCAAACCCTCCTTTGTTGCAGAAACTTTCAGTTCCTTTTAATGCCTTAGGTAATATTTACGAAGGCACCTTGAACGGCCACCAAAAAAATTTGTTCAGATGTTTTCAAAAGAAAAGCTCCTGTGAGCAAAATAAAAAATAACGATGGAAATAATTCAAGGAACTTTCTAAAAAAGAAGAAGAAAAATTCAGCGCATGGTAGTCTCAATGTGCTTTTAAGTTAAGTATTATCCTTTTACCGTTAAATTTGTAGAAATGACTTTGAGTTTTTTAACTTAGTTTCCTATTCTGTTATTACCTAACAGCATCCAAAACCCCTGTAATCATGCTTTTTCTACATTTTAAGCATAAGTACCAACAGTCTTTCAGGTTGTTGATTTGAGAAAAGGTTGTGCTCAACAGTATATGTATGTTAAAGCTCTCAGGTATCGGTCAGTAGCTTTTAGCACAATTTTCAGTCAATGACCGTTTCGTATTGTTTAATTTTCTGCTATTTTATTTTGATGACTAACCAATTGAATCTATACAGCGAGAATCAATTTTGTACAGTAACTTGTATAAAGTTGATGTCATATAAGTTCAGGAATCTGATTTTGATAATGCATCTGGCAATACGCCATTTTTTGATCCTGTAAATATCCATTAATCAATTAACTTTTTTTAAGTTTAAGGGGTAAATTTAAACAAGGCTGCGTGAGTTACATCAATAGCTAGCCTGAGTAAGTGAAAAGGAAAATTTGGCTTTGATGGACCAGTTGCCGCCCTCCTCCCCCCACCTCTCCCTTTGACTTTTGATCCGCCACTTGAAATAATGTGTTGTTTCCTCTTTTATTTTTAGTTTCTGTCC